AATAACGCTTTATCTCTTTCGTTTATTTAATTCTTGACTGCTGTAGTGAATACCAAGCAAAGTATCCATTTCAATGTTTTCGGTTTGTCTAGAATTGAACACAATTTCAACATTTTGCTTTAAGGCATCGTAGTTTATTATTTTTGATTCATACTGCTTTGTTATCTTAGTCATTATATCTATTGTAAGTTTTTTGATCAAACATATTAACATCACAACTGTAGTGGTGTTTAAAGTTAGTAAAAATATGATCCAATATAGATTTTGTTCGCTGATCAATTCAAGTGGGATTTAATTTACTTACTTTGTTCAAAATTTTATACCCATTAGTTGTCAATGATAGCTAAAATCGGTTAAAAATCTATATATATTTAAAAACTTGGAAATAATAGAAAAGGTATTTCGATATAAAAGAATAAAGCGCCTCATCCTTGTAATCTGCTTGTAACGTAAAGAACTTGTACATGCCACTTGAGTTCTTTGACTACATCTTTTACCGTTTCCAATCCCTTTGCCGTTTGAGTTATAGAAAGTTCGATTTATCATCTTTCGCGATTATTTTTAAATGTATTTCTTTTATTATAATGCTGGAAACGTGGTGTGAAAATGGCAAATAGCGTATTGGAACTTGCGGGGTTTTCAAGAATTTATTGGATTTTCATGCGTAGCTTTTCTAGGAGCATGTTTGTTTGCATATTTGCCTTGGGAATTCAGCGGGTTATTTTAAAGATTGGATTTGAAAGATATTTGCGGAAGATGAGCTTGTCTAGTAGGATATTTGATGGATACTTGAAATTCAATTTGGGGATAAAATAGAATATAAGTAGATAAGTAGCATTTTCTGATGTTGATTGAATTTTTTTTAACAAATTCTTATTTATTTTCCTGGGGTTATTTTAAAGATTGGATTTGAAGGATATTTGCAGAAGATGAGCTTGTCTAGTAGGGTATTTGATGGAAACTAGAAATTCAATTTGAGGATAGGATAGGAAAGTGGAATTTTCTGTCTTACGATGATGGGGTATATGTCTACAATTCAGCAGGTGAAATGGCAGGGTTGTAATCAGGTGGTGGCGGCGGATTTTGGCAAAGATTGTCGAAAAACCGCTCTCACGGAGGGATGATGCGCGATGGTTTCGCGCCGGCATCGTAATAGGGGTGCAGGATCGCAGGATCCGAGATGCTGCGTTCAGTCGTCAGCACGATCTCCAGCGGGCAGTTTCTGTGATCGTAAACCGGCACCGTTCGCGGTCTATGCCGGCAATTCGTCATGTCCGTCGGCGACGATGATAACAAGGCGACGGCTTCGCCACAGCAAAAAAATATTGCCGACGGCCACTGCTCGCCAGCTAAAGATCCAGGTATTTCTCACCTCTTTCTGAATTTTTTATGCGATTTATTCAAAATAACTGTATTTCAAAAACGAGCTTTCCCCGAAAACGTGCTCAACCGCATCGGGTAGTATCGTAAGCGTGGGGTCGGCGTGGGACGTCGATGAGGACATCCAAAATACGGGGATGTTCGCGGACAACGTGCCGGGAGCGGCGCGTGTTAGGTCACTAGGTTATAGAGGGTCTGGGTACAACGCGGGAAGCTGTTTTGCGCGTATCGATTTTGCCTACGCCCTGTGTGGCTCCAGCTAACCTACATTTTCGAGCCCAGGGTACCAGATCTTCATCGATCTTTACCATCATCGCTCATCGCGTCCGCGAATCATCATCGCTTTTTCCCTCGCTTTCGCTCCGTTCACCCTTTCCAACTCGCCGTACGGGAATATCAAGAATAAAAAGCAAAAAATTCTGGATACGGCAAAATCCAGTCCCACGTTTCTGGATTCAACAACGTCCGATAAATTCAAATCATTTTTTTTCAGTTTTTTGTTCTAAAAATGGGAATAATAAAACTAGAATTTGATTGAATAAGCCCCGCTTTTCCCACTGGCTTTTTTTCTCTTTTCATACATTTTGAATTGATTCAAATGAAATTTTTTTGGCTTGGTACCATATGAATATATATATTTGAAATTAGTTTCTAGGTGTATTTAAAGTTTAAGAATAGTTAATAAAACTGTTGTGAGTAATGCCAAAGCGCAACCCAGCCCGGAAATAATTGTTAGCCCCAGTAACCGAGGCAATTCTTGCCAAACAAAGGAGATTTATGAACGCACCAGAAAATTGTAAGTACGCAGCGAAAAATTACGGAATCCCGCACAAAAACAAACTTCTGGCCCTGGTCCAGGAAAAAAAGCTAATTAGGATTGCATTTAGTACTCTGAAAAGAAGTTACTCCTTTCTTTTTAATTGACTTTTCAAAAAAGATTTTTAGAACACTCTTTAATGATAACATGAATATTTATTAAGATATTAAAAAGTTTTGCATACTTTATCAGGGACAAAAATGAGATGGGGTTTGAATTAAATAACTCATCCGGGCAAGAATTGATTGTTTTAAAAAAAAAATGAGTGTCATCAAAATCAAATTAGAGAGTTCGATAATGAATATCTTTTGATGTTCATTTTTTCTGTTTCTTTTTTGTGTCGAAAAAAGAAAAAAAAAATAGGGTGAAACTGTATCCTCCTCACGAAAAGAAGTATAAGATCAATAAAGGTCGGTGTGGCGGAAACGAGTACAAAAAAATATTATTTTCAGATAGGACCGCCATTTGTCACCGGCCCATTATCGGATAATTTCGAAATTGTCAATTCACCGGCTCATACAAATTTGATTAACTAGCGCTAGATTTTCGCTCGACATTACGATAACGCAATATCGATTCGTGTGCGGTGCGTTTATATACCATATACAAAGCTCGCTACACAACCGTCGGCACAGTTTATTTGTTCAACAGATAATTCTATTTATCGTGCGGATAAAAGGTACTCTAAAAATTTAATATTAACTAAAACATCTATTATTACTGCTTTATTTTTATGGGACCTATATTTATTTACGATATATTGTTATTAAAATAAAAATTTATGTGACAAATATTGTTTGGTAAATAAATAAAAAAAATTTGTGTAAATAATATCTTATAATATAACGCTTTTAATGCGAAAAATTAAAAATAATTAATAAATTAAAAATTCATTTTTCTTAATAATATATATAATAGATTATTTACGAATTTCGAGATGAACGGGTGATGAATTAATTTAATTTTAACACCATCAAATACACAAAGAAACATTAATAATTTCCTATTTTTTTTTTTAATTAAAAATCAATTAAAAAGTTAGTTTTTGCATTTTAAAGCTCTTTCATTAATCTTCTCTTTGGTGTTGTGTTTGATTTATATGCAAATCAGGTTATAAATTAATAAATATATATCTAAATATAAATAAATAACAAAATTTAATATAAATAAATTAATATATATAATTTTCTTATATATATATAATTTTTATATAATTTTGTATATTTTTTTAAATTTTGTATAATTTATATNATTAACTAGCGCTAGATTTTCGCTCGACATTACGATAACGCAATATCGATTCGTGTGCGGTGCGTTTATATACCATATACAAAGCTCGCTACACAACCGTCGGCACAGTTTATTTGTTCAACAGATAATTCTATTTATCGTGCGGATAAAAGGTACTCTAAAAATTTAATATTAACTAAAACATCTATTATTACTGCTTTATTTTTATGGGACCTATATTTATTTACGATATATTGTTATTAAAATAAAAATTTATGTGACAAATATTGTTTGGTAAATAAATAAAAAAAATTTGTGTAAATAATATCTTATAATATAACGCTTTTAATGCGAAAAATTAAAAATAATTAATAAATTAAAAATTCATTTTTCTTAATAATATATATAATAGATTATTTACGAATTTCGAGATGAACGGGTGATGAATTAATTTAATTTTAACACCATCAAATACACAAAGAAACATTAATAATTTCCTATTTTTTTTTTTAATTAAAAATCAATTAAAAAGTTAGTTTTTGCATTTTAAAGCTCTTTCATTAATCTTCTCTTTGGTGTTGTGTTTGATTTATATGCAGACCAGGTTATAAATTAATAAATATATATCTAAATATAAATAAATAACAAAATAATTAATATAAATAAATTAATTAATAATATATAATACATTATTTACGAATTTCGAGATGATCCGGGTGATGAATTAATTTAATTTTAATACCATCGTACTCATATTTTTTAATATCAAATACTCAAAGTAACATTAATAATTTCAGACTAGGTTGTAAGCGTATTATAAATTAAATAATTTTCTATTACTTTTCTTACTTTGCAAACTTGAAACTTGGAATACGCAGATGATAGGTGTTCACCCATCAAATTGATGAAAGTTCTAATACTTGTCATCCATAATCCTTGTGGTAGAAGCAACCATCTAGTATTTAGACACCACCTAGGTCTAGTTGACGTATCTTGGGTTCACTCTATTTCTTTTTATTTTCAAAAATATATTAAATTGATGATAAGGAAATTTGAGAAAATTGAGGGGAAATGCAATTTGTTGGTAGCCTTGATGTGGGTAAGAGAGGGAAGAGGAAATTTCATCGTGGAGGAAATCTAATATTAAAAGCTATCTGCATGCACTTAAACGGGATGCGTTACATATTTGCGCCGAGATTTTTCCGTAAGAACAAAAGTGCATATTTGAATTTAAGAATTCGTTGCACGTTGAACGTGAATTAAATTTGATCGAGGGATGTGTTGGTTTATTTTCAGAGCAATTTAAATCGTTCGCGATTGAACACTTGTAAATCACGTAGTATCAATTCAACGCGGGCCAAATAAATATCGATTTGAATGCACTGGACGCTCATTATTTACTGTCGCGTTTGTTTTTTTTTCTTTTTCGTTTACGCGTCGGGTAATTTAAACTAAAAGTTATATATTTCTTGAAACTACTAAAAATCCATTTTATTTCACCAATATTGCGGTTTTCTTTTACTCGAAATCTCTTTCGACGATCACGCTAAAATAACTTCTATTTACTTTTCAGGTAAGACTTTGATCGAAAGCTCCAAGCCGAGTATCGTATTGCAAAGTGGTAAGTACTTTGCTACTTTACTTTCAACTTTATTTTATGCTTTTATGCTTATTATTAAGCAATTTTTAAATAGCCTTGAAATTCATTATGATGGTTCCCAAAAATCGAATGTTTACTCTGCAATGAGGCGACCTTTGCCGTCCTACTTATGCGAGGAGGAGAAGTCGATTGGACAACAAATATTGGCGCTATCGGTGTTTATTGACCTGGCATAATGATATCCGTGCGTCAGTGAAAGAGCGAAGGCTTTGTTTTTCGAGATACTACCTGAAACATGTTTTCCGCTCGCGTGGCGTAGTTTTCGCGTAAATTGAATGCAAAGCTCCTTGTTTATTTCAAGCGACAGGAAAATTTTTATTTAGATACAACGAAAATACTAGCAGATAAAAGTGTGATACGTAGTAAAATGATATAGCGTATTTTTAGAACGGTTCAATGCCCTCGAAAACGTGAAAAACAACAAGACTTTTTTTATGTTCGTGGAAATTGAATCTGTAAATGGAAGGGATTCGGGGACATGTGACATAATTGAAACCGTGTCCTCACGCCTCCACGTTTGTCAAAAGTCAAAACTTCCGACCAGGTCAAAATTTAAGGGGAACTTTTTCACCTTAATAAGAAAAAATCACGAAATGGGGTCGCCGAAATGTCAGAGCGGAGAGGCGACCGTAGCAACTTCGCGGGAATCGATAACCGATTATCGCGTGAAGTGGATCCGAGCGTATTTGCCCCAAAGCTGCCCGGAAATTTAATCCCATTTTGCAGGTGGAGGTGATCCAATAAGTGCCCAATATGAATTCTCGCCTAATCGTCCGGTCCTGATGCCCTCCGATGCAACGCCCAAATTCACCTATATTAAACCTTATCAACATGCTCCAATTCGTTTAATATACCTCGTTTGCTTTGTTCAAAAATTATACAACCACCATAAAAAATTTTATAAATATTACATAAAATTTTTTTTTATTCTTAATCAAATAATAACACAGGAATTTTTTTATCGACATCATGGAGATTATAGAAATGACATTGAGGAAATTTTTGCAAAAATTTTACTACAAGAAATTTTAAAGTATCATGTTCTTATATGGCTTTGTTCTGGGATGGGAATTGCTCGTTTTATCCGGATTTGCACAAATTTTGCCGATGTCGCTTTGTAATCAATTATATTACAAAACTAGGCAATTTCAAAAAAATTTGGCAATCTTCTTGAAGTGTTTATTTCATGAGAGTATCATGCATTAATTATATGTTATACGCCGAAAAGTGCTTGTTCCACATAGTGATTATATAAATTGATTATTTTACAAAATTAGACATTTATATGAAAACACACTAAACAATCAGAGTGTAGATCGCCGAAATGTCAGAGTAAAGAGGCGACCGTAGCAGGAATCGATTTAATCTCATTTTGCAAGTGGAGATGATTCATTTAATAAGTGCCTAATATGAATTCTCACCTAATTGTATGGTTCTAGTACCTTCCGATGCAATGCCCAAATTCATCTATATTAAACATATAACCATCATAAAAAATTTTACAAATATTACCCAGGAATTTTTTATCGACATCACGAAGATTATAGATTAAAAAACGCTCTTCATGCAATGACATTAAGGAAATTGTAAAAATTTTAATTGCACAATTTTAGACAATTTTTGGGAATGTTTTTGTTCTTAACGTATCATGTTCTCCGGATTTGCTAAAATTTAGCCGAGGTCCCTTGCGTCGAAGCTTTGCTATCGATTATATTACAATAATAAACAATTTCAAAAAAAATTTTGCCATCTTCTTGAAATGTTGTAACATAAGTTTTTATTTCATGAGAGTATCATGCATTAATTATATGCTGTGTCGATTATTTTACCATGGCAAAAATTTTTGCCATCTTCTTGAAGTGTTGTAACATAAGTTTTTATTTCATGAGAGTATCATGCATTAATTATATGCTGTATCGATTATTTTACAAAATTAAACATTCTGATAGAAACACACTAAACAATCAGAGTGTGGATCGCCGAAATGTTAGAGCGGAGAGGCGACCGTAGCAGGAATCGATTTAATCTCATTTTGCAGGTGGAGGAGATTCATTTAATAAGTGCCCAATATGAATTCTCACCTAATCGTCCGGTTCTGATGCCCTCCGATGCAATGCCCAAATTCATCTATATTAAATATTATACAACCATCATACAAAATTTTACAAATATTACCCAGGAATTTTTTATCGACATCACGAACATTATAGATTAAAAAACGCTCTTCATGCAATGACATTAAGGAAATTGTAAAAATTTTAATTGCTCAGTTTTAGACAACTTTTGGGAATGTTTTTAAAACATTTTTGTTCTTAAAGTATCATGTTCTCCGGATTTGCTCAAATTTAGCCGAGGTCCCTTGCGGCGAAGCTTTGTTATCGATTATATTACAAAAATAAACAATTTCAAAAAAATTTTTGCCATCTTCTTGAAGAGTTGTAACATAAGTTTTTATTTCATGAGAGTATCATGCATTAATTATATGCTGTGTCGATTATTTTACCATGGCAAAAATTTTTGCCATCTTCTTGAAGTGTTGTAACATAAGTTTTTATTTCATGAGAGTATCATGCATTAATTATATGCTGTATCGATTATTTTACAAAATTAAACATTCTGATAGAAACACACTAAACAATCAGAGTGTAGATGAGTTTACATCTTTTGCTAAGGAGCATGATGATTCCAATCCTTTTAACAAGTGTCTTAAGAAGTAGCAAAAATTGAGACATTTTGAAATTGATTGTAATTTTCTGGTAGATGGGCTTCGAGTAGGGAATATACAGCGTGTCCCGTATCTTCCGCATCAGAGCATTATACGGTTGTAGAATACATTATTCTGAAGCGATCTTTCTAATAAAATTCTTTCGAAATGTTTATAATAACCGCACGGGAACTGTTTAACGACGACCAATAACGGACAACTTTGATTCATCGAAAAAGTTTATTTCTCTTTCCATGACGAATCTATTGGTGAGTACACGTGGGAAACGAGTTATCATCGGCGTAGCGGACCGGCCGAGGGTGGCACCGATTACCTGAGTCTGATTTGCGATCTGCTGATTGGACGAAAAACAGTTCCTTTAAACAGTTCCCGTGCGGTTATTATAAACATTTCGAAAAAATTTTATTAGAAAGATCGCTTCAGAATAATGTATCCTACAACCGTATAATGCTCTGATGCGGAAGATACGGGACACGCTGTATAGGTGTGATTTGAAGGCATTAGGGCTTGAATCATTTTGCATAAATTTTTATCTAATACCAGTTTTGTAGTATATATTTCATCTGTAATTTTTTGGTAATGATGCTTATATATCAATAAAGCTGTATTTATATTAATACCATTACATAATGAAATAACAAAATATATGAGATGAAACTCCTTGCAATTATTGTATCATTAGTAGGATATAATCGGAGTGTCCGGTTTCCTTACCCAAGTCTCGAATCAGTCCGATTAAATTTCTGTTACTAAATCCTTTTCTTAAATTACGCTGTCTCAGATTTTCTTTCCTCCGAGCTTCGACTCCCTAATATTTAAGGTATAGATATTTCCTATTTATATAAAATGAAATGATGGTTATAAAAGGAGTATAACCTGTTGATAGATAATAACGTTTTAAATAGTATATGTCAAGGATATTGTAGTGGTGAAAATTATTGATTTTTCCTGTAAAATCGTAACGAAACATTAGGAATTAGCATTTATATGGGATGATTTAAACGTGGGGAGTTTGGAAATTATTCAAATTAGTATGATTTTGGAGGGTGAAATTTTGGAAATTGCGTTTCATTTTTAAGTAATTATAAATTCGAAGGTCGCATGGTAATTTATGGTCCAATAATCGATAACTTTCGCTTTATTTTCGTCCTAAACGGACATGCAACTGTTCAATAACGGTTAAATTTTTTTAAGGATTAATTTATTTCTTTATCTGATTTCAAAAACTATGATGGATCGTGATTTACAAGTCAACACTTTTTATACATCGCCTTTTAAACGTTTTAAAATCCTCATTGTCGATTGTGTTCGAAAAAAAAAAATTCGAAATATTATCAAACAATCTCTTTAGCTAGTTTAAAATCGAGATACCACGATGAGTAACATTATTAAATCGTTCTTTATGCCAAATCCGCTTTTGCGAGTATAGGATTAACCCAATCTTATCGATACATCACCTTTTACACAAATTCTTTTGTCTGTCGTACGTTAATCTGGTGTAGTACCCATGTGGTTGCTGCGTTATTCGGTTCAAAGTATTGTGATAGTCTCAGAACAAACAGGAGATATTAACTATATTATCGGTTAACTGTACTTCGAAGAACACAAAAACGATTCAGTTGCACTGTAACCATTTCTTGCGCAGCATCACCAAGTTCATTTATTTTTAATGGGGCGTGATTCCAAACAAGGTAAGAATAGTTCATTTTAAGCGGATGGTAAATATTTTAATTTGGAACTGTCTGCTTTTTTATTTATTTTTTTCACAATCATTTGTGGTTAATAACAATAAACCACGAAGTACTGCATATCTAAAAATATAATAAGTAAACATTTATCATTTTTTAAATTAAAAAAATCTCAACTCTTTCTTGTTAGAATAAATTTTACGTCGTGATACTGTCGAGTGCAGTTAGTGATGAAATCTCTTGACGGTAGGTATCTAATTTACATAGTAAATTCGATGGGAGCTGCATAATATCGGGGTTACAATTTAATTAACATAGAAATGATGAGATTTCTAACTTTACTAAGCACTTTGCTGTTAAGTCGTGATGAAGTAGCGCTAACGGAGAATTCGTATTTTTAGAAATATACCTCAGATATAAATATTTAGGGTATTAAATTTTAAGCAAACATATTTTATTTGAGATGGTTAACGTTGAAATTTGTTAAATCACGTGTCCCTAGTGGCAATTAGACGCTTAACTGCCCGTATAATTAAACATTAAAGGTACCGTAAAAGGTTATGACGCGAATTTAACCATCAAAGCCCTATTGTTATGTAAGGCGGGATGAGTTTTTTTATCGAAAATATAAAAGCTAAATCGGTCAACTTAGTAAACATAAATCCCATGACTTTTATCGCTTAAAGTGTTTGCGATTTATATTTAATCCCAGCTACTACTCCGCATAGTCTTAACGTTATCACGCATTATCAAGTTTTTTCAAAAAAAAAAAAAATTAAATAAAACGTATTGCCTTGTAATTCACCGGGATTTAACTAGTAATAACTTCTGGAACTCTTTGTAAAGTGTATGGATAAAGAAAGGATTGGACCGCACTCATTTGGCAATGTTCCAAAACTACACTCTGGTGACAAAGATATAAACCGTTTCTATGGATTTCCTATAACCCAATTGTATTTCGAAATATATCGAAAAAATTGTTTGTTGTAATTTTACACAATCGAACGTCGATTTCGAATCGATTTTTCGCAAAAAATTAATATTCGTTCGAAATATGCCAACGATACCGTACCTAAACTTGAATAATTCTTCGTTTACAGGAGATGGAACCGACGAACAACCTTTCGTGTCCGAGAAGAGGTCCGGATATGAAACGAATCTCTTCCTTTACAAGGTAAGCTTTCCGCCCGGAAAAAATCATTTTGTTTTTTTCCCGTAATTCCATTCCAGTCGGGCAAACGAATATTTTAACGAACGCAATTACAGCGTTCCGACAACATCACTGAACGCCAATTACGACCGTAATTAATCGAGGCTGGGTTTAGCTGAAAAGCTCGTTGGAGTTTCTGTTTCACGATGTGCAATTAATGTATTGCTACACAGTTATTTGATATTCCCCCGTTTCATATTCAATGTTACATTTGTTAGACAGTTTCTAGTACTTGTATCATACACAAATATAGAATTTTATTTTTTTTTTATTTTGTGTTATTAATTAAATTAATTTTAGGAAGAGATGGAGGATAGGCCAAGGGTTTCTACTATGATAAGTTCCTTGGCCAACTACTCCAATACAATTCCTCCAGCATCAACAGATCCTGATGCAAGACCGGCTAAAGGTGGTGCTCGTATGGGCACATTGATCGGCGTTTATCTCCCTTGTATTCAAAATATTTTTGGTGTTATTCTCTTCATTCGTCTAACATGGGTTGTGGGTACTGCGGGAGTGATACAGGGCTTCCTGATTGTTTTGTGCTGCTGCTGTGTTACCATGCTGACGGCCATCTCCATGTCGGCGATCGCCACGAACGGTGTAGTCCCGGGAGGAGGAAGTTATTTTATGATCTCGCGGTCTTTGGGACCAGAATTTGGCGGAGCTGTGGGGATGCTATTTTACACAGGTACCACGCTGGCGGCTGCCATGTATATCGTTGGTGCCGTGGAAATAGTACTGGTAAGTATTAAGATTTCCCAATCTTATTGTATAAAAATTTAATACAAATTTCAGACATATATGGCGCCGAGTATAGCAATTTTCAAAGAGAACACAGCGGAGGCTATGTATAACAACTTTAGGGTTTTCGGAACTGGTCTTTTGGTGATCATGGGAACGATTGTTTTTGTGGGAGTCAAATTTGTTAATAAATTTGCAACAGTTGCTCTCGCATGCGTCATCCTATCGATTGTGGCTGTTTATGTTGGGATTTTCTATAACTTCAATGGAACTGATCGATTGCAGTAAGGATATTTAATTTTTTTTTATCTGATTTTACAAACTTTTTTTAGTATGTGCGTTTTGGGTAACCGTCTTTTGAGAAGCGTGGAGATTTCGGGTTGTAACAAAAGCGAAAACGGTGCTTTATTCCCTATATTCTGTAATGCAACCTACTGCGACCCTTATTTCGCGGCTCATAACGTCAGCGTAGTAAAAGGAATCAAAGGAATCTCATCTGGGGTACTTTTAGGTGTGCCTCAAATCCTTGGTGTCATTTACGTAACTTATTTTATTTTTTTTTCTTTTTTATAGACAATTTGTACGACAGTTTCTTGGAATTGGGGCAATTTATTGCTCGCGGGAGGAACCCAGAAGACATTGAAAATATTGGTCACTCAACTTTCAACCAGGTTTACGCGGATATCACAACATCTTTTACGATTCTCATCGGTATCTTCTTCCCATCGGTCACCGGAATTATGGCTGGGTCTAATCGATCTGGAGACTTAGCCGATGCTCAAAAATCCATCCCAATAGGAACAATTTGCGCTATATTAACTACATCGACCGTGTACTTATCGGCTGTCGTACTTTTTGGGGCAACTGTTGATAACTTGTTACTAAGAGACAAGTAAGTTTTGTTTAAAACTTAATGAAGCGGTGGTTTTGATTTGATGATTTTATTTAGATTTGGAGTTTCTATCGGCGGGAAACTCGTCGTGGCAAATATAGCTTGGCCAAATGAATGGGTGATCCTCATAGGATCTTTCTTGTCAACCCTCGGTGCTGGACTCCAATCTTTAACCGGAGCACCTCGTCTGCTTCAAGCAATCGCCAAAGATGGAATTATACCGTTTTTATCTCCATTCGCGGTATCTTCGAGCAGAGGAGAACCAACGAGGGCCTTAATTTTAACTCTTCTAATTTGTCAATGTGGCATTCTTCTCGGAAATGTTGATTACCTCGCGCCGTTATTGTCAATGTTCTTTTTAATGTGTTACGGATTCGTTAACCTCGCATGTGCACTACAAACGTTATTGCGTACACCAAACTGGAGACCAAGATTCCGTTATTATCATTGGTCCTTATCGTTCATTGGATTAGCTTTGTGTATCGCTATTATGTTCATGACGTCATGGTATTACGCGCTAGTTGCAATGGGTATGGCAGGATTGATTTACAAATACATTGAATATAGAGGAGCTGAAAAGGAGTGGGGAGATGGCATTCGAGGTTTAGCTTTGTCGGCGGCTCGTTTCTCATTGTTACGTCTTGAAGAAGGACCTCCGCATACGAAAAATTGGAGACCACAAATTCTTATTTTGGTCAAATTAACTCCTGATCTTGTACCTAAATACAGAAAACTCTTCGCGTTTGCCTCTCAATTGAAAGCGGGCAAAGGTCTAACAGTTTGCGCCTCCGTTATTAATGGGGATTACACAAAATCGTACGGCGAAGCTATGGCCGCTAAACAAAGCCTAAGAAGGACTGTTGAAGAAGAAAAGGTTAAAGGTTTCGTTGACATTCTCGTCGCTAGAGATGTCGTAGAGGGATTATCACATCTAGTGCAAACAACTGGATTAGGAGGAATGAAACCTAATACAGTCATTCTTGGCTGGCCGTATGGTTGGCGCCAATCGGAAGACGAACGTACATGGCAAGTGTTTTTGCAAACGATCAGGAATGTGACATCAGCTCGGATGGCGCTGTTAGTACCGAAAGGAATCAATTTCTTCCCGGATTCCACAGAGAAAGTCGTTGGGAATATCGACATTTGGTGGATCGTCCACGACGGCGGTCTCCTAATGTTACTCCCCTTCTTATTGAAACAACACCGAACATGGAAAAATTGTAAAATGAGGATATTCACCGTTGCCCAAATGGAGGACAACTCAATCCAGATGAAAAAAGATCTTAAAACATTCCTTTATCATTTACGTATTGTTGCTGAAGTAGAAGTAGTCGAAATGGTAAAATAAAATACCAATTTCTTTTTAATAAAATTTTAAAAATATAAAATCTTTTAGATGGACAGTGATATTTCAGCTTATACTTATGAACGTACTTTGATGATGGAACAAAGAAATCAAATGTTAAGAGAATTACGACTCAATAAAAAAGAAAGCTTACAAGTCGTAAGTATTGATGTTAAAAATATTTATAATAAATTCTATGTTGCTAATCAAAACCGATTGATGTGGAATAATTTTCGCGTTGATCGGTTAAAAAAACAATCCTCTACTTAAAGACCAGTTATCTCATTCGTTTGTCCTTGACTTGAAAGGTACAGACGCTGGTGGATTTCAACGCCGTGTCGGCGGAAGAGAAACTGCCACTGGTAACAAACGCGCGCCGCTCATTTTGTTTAATTACTTTTGAGTTGGTCGCTTCTTGCATGGTTTTGTTTCCAACTCATTGCCAATCATCATCACGGCCCCTTCATCTTTTTTTAACGTTTCCACCTTAGTTTTAGCTTAACCAAATCTTATCAAAATTTTTTTGCAACATCTAATTTCTTTTATTCAAACCCAGGTACAATCGATTGTGGATCAACATCACCCCGATGCAAAAACCGCCACCAAAGTGAGGTTCCAAGAACCTGGAAGTGATGGTGTTGTTGATAACAAACAAGAAGAGGAACCATCAAATGAGGTTAAAAGAGAGATTGTAAAATATTCTTGCGTTGCTAAATTTTTTTTGCAGCCTATTTCCGATGAAAAGGCTCCACTGGAAAATAACATCAAAGAGAAGGAGGATGCGTCTGAGAAAGAACCGGAAGTTACAACCAAGGAGTCCCCTGCTAAGAACGATGCTAAACCAATTACAACCCCGTATATTAACCCAACGATTTATTAAGTATTTGTTATTCTAAGTTATATTTTTTTTGTAGTGATGAAGGAAACGTTCGTCGGATGCACACAGCGGTGAAATTGAACGAAGTGATAGTCAATCGATCACACGATGCTCAGTTGGTGATTTTGAATTTACCAGGACCACCGAAAGATACCAAATTGGAACGGGAATCAAATTGTGCGTTTAAATAATTTTAATATTTAATATATTGATTTTATTTTTGTTTTAGATATGGAATTTTTGGAAGTGTTAACAGAAGGATTGGAGAGAGTGCTGATGGTCAGAGGCGGTGGTCAAGAAGTGATAACGATTTATTCGTAAAGTGAAATTAGTAAAAAGTGAAACCAAAGATACTTATTTATTCTCCTCGTATTAGTTTCTGGCTCTTGCATATCGTTGCAGTTCGGAAACGAAGCTGTGTCGAATCAAAACAAAAAAAATTTAAGAAAAAAATAAGGGAAAACTTAAAGTTAAAGAAAATTTAAAGTATATTAAAAATACCAAAAAGTAAAACTCTGCGAATGCTCACTTTTCTACACCTTGTTGGAGCTCTATGCATGCGGTGTTAACGATTAGGATTTTAGCGATGTAAGATATGTTGTAGTGTTTAGCCAAAAAAAAAAAACAAGAAAAATGGTTACATTAAACAAATCGAAATGTACTCGTGTAGTTCTGTTATTCAAGAGAAGATCGTATTTATATCAGATGTTCTACGACTTGTTACTTTTACTACCTTTATGTTGTTCTATATTTTTTTCACTATCGTTTTTTCTCTATTTAATAAGCATTTTAACTATGTACAATCCATATAAATATTAAAAAGTATATTATATCTATAAGCGGTTGTGTCAGGATCATCTTTGTTAAGAACAAAAAAACCAATAAAAATGTAATAATGGTGGAAGAACCTGACACGACCGCTTACAACTCAGCTATATTTATAATAAGTATAAATATACTTAAAGCAATATTAAAAGTAAAAAAAATCTTTATGAATGTCAAATTATGAACAAAGGTGATAGGAATACGTGACAAACGTGACACGAGGGCCCTTCTAATATATTCACATACGTTCAGTCCAAATTTAATTTTTTCATTATATATAAGTACGAATTTTATTTGTAAAAAAAATTTAAAGTAGTGAAAAGCAATTTTATCAACAACTCCATTTCGATACAACACACCATATTGAACACCAATTTATTCGCCATACAACAAAGCGAAATATAAATAGCCGATTAGGACACGAAGCGTTCGGTCGCCGCCAAACAACAAAAAAAGGAAAATTTGCCTGAGCGACTGGACGCTGTGAGTATATTCTGTGCCCCATAGAGGGCGCCCACACTGTCCACCTACGGCCTGAGTGTAGTGATAGTGCACTAGTGATCTCAACTAGCCTTAAAGGTACCTTGATATATTGAATCCTATTTATTTAAAACAAAAAAAAGTATAATGACAACAAAAAAATCGTGTACCAGTAGCGTCGCCACGTTAATACGCCGCCGCACGCCAACCACCTATGACCGTTGGCGCCGCGACGCCTAGCGACGGCGGCACCGAAACCGCGGCGACGCCTTTAGTGGCGAAAGAACTACTAAGAAGAATTATTTATTCGTTTCGTCGTCTCGATCATGATCACTAGAGTGTTATGTAAATGGCGCAATCGTTTTACCTTATTATATGACCATGTGTTCATTGAGTAAAAAGTACGAAATAAAATTGTGTATAGTAGGAGGTCCGATTATTTTCTTTTTATTTTTTTCATTTTTTGACGTTCATAATAAACCTTAAATAAAGAACTCTTCACTATCATCTATATTATGTATTTATATTAACGTTGTACATAGATTTTATTTTGTTGGTGTTAATAAATAATAATAATAACTAACATAAAAGCAGGTAAGTTATTAAATAAAACATTAACATAAACACATTAAAGTTTAAATAAATATAATTAAACAAAAAAATGTAATTTATCAATAAATAATCATTTAAAAAAATTGTTTTAAAGGTTGTGAGTGTTTACGTGAAATTCCATCTTTAATATCTAAGTGTAATTTATGACACACTGCTGATAAAGCAATTTGAGACAAAAATTTAAACTAAATTGAAAGTAAATATTTTGGGTTAATACATCCGCTGCGTATTTCGATCAGGTTTCGATAATTCAGATACTAAAGAGCCCAACCCAACCCAATTTATTTCTCATACCACAGAGAATACTTTGGGGAAGCCGACGTCTTCGAAGTCAAACAAAGGCAAGAAATTAAGATTCTAATATAACTCAAAATTAATCAATTTTTCATCATAAAACACTCGGGATTCGGAGCGTACTCAAAAAAACTTGTAGAACAAAAGTTGTAGCAAATTTTATACTTAATTGATCTCACTTTTGCTCTCAAATGCGTAATTATCGAGAAAAATGTGAAAATTTAATGATTTCGTTTTATTAATGGAAGCGCAAGGAATTCGGAATATTTTACAAAAAACTTGTAGTACAAAAGTTATAGCAAATTTAATTCTTAACAATATTGCTCATTTTCACTTTTGCTCTCAGATGCGTAAATATTCAGAAAAACGTGAAAATCTGATAATTTCATTTTATTAATGCTAGCGCACTGGATACTAAACATTACAAAATAACTTTTAGAACAAAAGTTGTAGCAAATTTTATTCTTAACAATATTACCCATTTTCACGTTTGCTCTCAGATGTGAAAAGTTGAAATCTTTGTTGTACATAATATTGATATATTATCTATTAATTTCATGATTCTATAGTTTTGGGTTGATTTGGCTTGATTCAAAGTTGGGTTACTTTGTGATCGAATTGAGTTGCTTTAGACTTGAGTTGCTTTGTAGCAAAATTTAAAGTTAATTTTGAGGTTCCCACGGTAGTGTTGACTTATTTTGTGGCTAAGCATTCGGGTTGGATTCCGAGTTCCTTTGAGATTTGCATTTTTTTGCGTTGAATAAGATTGCATGTTAAGTATAATGTTCATTCTGTCAAAGAACGCCATTAATGCATTTCATGCTTCTATGGTTTTGGATTGATTTGGTTTGATTCAAAGTTGAGTTAGTTTGTGACCGAATTGACTTGCATTAGACTTGGGTTGCTTTGTAGTTGAGTTACTTTCTGGTTTAATTAATTAGCTTTGGAGTTGCATTACTTTGTGGGTAAGTTATTTTGAGGTTCCCACGGCAGTGTTGACTTATTTTGTGGCTGAGCATTCGGATTGGATTCCGAGTTCCTTTGAAATTTGCATTTTTTTGCGTTGAATAAGATTGCATATTAAGTATAATGTTCATTCTGTCAAAGAACGCCAGTAATGCATTTCATGATTCTATGGTTTTGGGTTGATTTGGCTTGATTCAAAGTTGGGTTACTTTGTGACCGAATTGACTTGCTTTAGACTTGGGTTGCTTTGTAGTTGAGTTACTTTCTGGTTTGATTAATTAGCTTTGGAGTTGCATAACTTTGTGGGGAAGTTATTTTGAGGTTCCCACGGTAGTATTGACTTCTTCATACGGGTTGGATTCCGAGTTACTTTGAAATTGGCATTTTTTGGCGTTGAATAAGATTGCATATTAAGTATAATGTTCATGCTGTCAAAGAACGCCATTAATAAAATTAAAATTAAAAACAAAAATGAGTGACATCTATGATTAAATAACTCAACACATCTTTAATAGCTGAAAAACATCAAAATAAGTTGTTGCAAAATTTTGTTTTAAATGTAATTTGTTTGTAAATATAAAAAATAATATAAAATAACATATTAAATAAAACTTATTAATTGTTTTCGTAAATTAAATTTTGTATATGTTAGGTTGGTATTGTGTAATGAAGCTTACTTCACTCATTTTATTTTGAGGTTATGCATTCCTATCTAAGGTTGGTCATTAGTTTGTGTCGTAAATAAATGGATATAATAACAAACAATCGGTGTTGCAATTGAATTGTATTTGTCTTAAACGCTCCAGATAAGTTTATTGAGCAAGCATAATAAATGTAGGGTATTTGTAAGATAATTGATGGACAGCTGTGAGTGTCATCGTTGGACAATCTGAAGATCTGAAGTAACCTGTAAGTACGTAACATAAAAAAACAGGGCAAATAAATCTGTCAAAAAAAAGTAAATATATAGAATGAAATGATTTTTTTCTAAAGAACATTAAGTTGTGCGGATTGCCAAATTAGTTTCTTTATTATCTTTCTTAAAAAAAAATAAATAAAGGGAAAATAAAGTGTTAAAAGTGGTGGGGTCGACATGCGCGTTTGATAACAAATGTTCTATGCCTTTCCCAGACTGTGGGTCTTCAACTAAAATGGCGTCAAATATCACCAAAGTTGATAACACGCTTTAGATAACAGCGGGACGACTCGCTGTATAATGATTGTTCGCGACCAAACGCGCACGTTTTGGCGAAAAAACGAGACTTCGTGGTGCGTTTTAGGGTCGACACGATAAACTGACTATATCACTACCGAACTATAACGAAAAAACGAAGGCGCACGATTGACTCGAGGGATTGACTCGCTATTTGGAAGACGGACGTTTAGTAATCGAACATAGTACGCTCGGAATCCCAATGGCCCAAATCATGAACCAGAAGAGAGGCCGTGGTACGGCCGCTGTTGGGGAAACCTCCAGCACAGGCTCCCAGAGTGGATCATCCAGCCAATTATCCAGACTGCCTACACCAGGAACACTTACTGATGAACTTGCTGCATTATTTGAGTGTCCTGTTTGTTTTGAGATTGTATTACCTCCTATCATGCAGTGTCAGGTTGGGCACCTGGTCTGCTCTAGCTGTAGACCAAAATTATCTTGCTGTCCAACATGTCGTGGAACATTAGGTAAGTTATTTTTAATAGACACTTATTTAAAAACACTCAAAAAAGTTATATCTATTATTATCTGCTTATTTGTTAGTCATAAACATCAATATCTTCATATAGAGTTACACATTGTATAGTGAAGAAACCTAATATATAAGCTGATGTGAGTAGTTTGTAAACTTTATCAATGATATACTTATTTATTTATGATTTATATAAATCACCCAAAATTTATAAAAAAAACTTGTAACATGGTTTCATCATTTTATCTTAATGATTAACTAATTTCTTGCATTAATTTTGTCACCATGTTAGGACATTTTTATGCTGACACCTTATTTCTTAATTTTTATTACACCATACAGTTTTATTACTCCATATTTTTATTAATACATCCACCAAAATAAATCGAAATCGAATTTTTGGATACAAAAAATATCAACATTTAAGACAAATAATCTTTGTGAAGTGCGTGAACAATCTTCAAGATGAAAAATTTATTATGAAAGTAAGTAACTATTTTATATACTATAATATTAGAATATTGTTTTTTTTTACAGTCGCTTCCACCCACATAGGAAAAATATTTTTGATGAGTTATAAACTATTATTTTTTATTAATATATTAATATTTTTTATTATAAATGGTTTTTAAGTTTTTTGAATTTGTTCCTCTATTATCTGCACTTTTTTGAGTGTGGATTGCCGGCGTTCATTTCCGAAGTAATTTTCTATGTGGAATCAGAATCCAACCTCAAAATTGGACCATCACGTCAGGATTTTGAGATATTTGAGGTTGTGTACAAGAAAAAAATGGCTTTTTTGACTGTTACGCCTTTGTTATTGGATGGCTGACGATCATTTCCGAAATAATTTTCTACGTGGAATCAGAATTCAAGACCAGAATTGGACCATCATGTCAGGATTTTGAGATATTTGAGGTTGTGTACAAGAAAAAATTTCTCTTTTGACAACTTTTGAAGTTATGTGTGAGACGCACAATAGTATTTTGCTGTATTCTATCTATTTCATCATATAGTACTATTATTGCCCTTCAAAATGCGCTCTTGAATGATGTTATACGATTTCCATGATAAGTTATGACCATTTTAACACTTTCGCGGACAGAACTCGAAATCATAGTGTCCGCGAAAGTGTTAAAATGACGTAATGAGTTAGCACCCAGCATAACATATGGATAGCTGGTTATTTTGCAGCATTTTGATTTCAGTTTTATTTTGAATTTGTAACTTAATACAGAATCTCTTGTATTTTCAGAAAATAGAATCAACCTTAGCTATTGCTAGAACTTCTATGGATACGCGCATTATTCAAAAACTGTACTGCAATGAACATTCAGGCAAGCGCAAAATAATGAGTTTCTTCTGTTGCCACTTTTGTTATATTATAAGTAAAATGACTTACAAGTCCATCAAAGATGACGAGAAATCGGTGTTATGAGATATTGCATAAAATCTTAATTATTAAGTAATTACATAAAACATTGAGGTGACAACTTTATGGACGTAACAACGATTGAAAAATTAATATATTTCGGACGGAACCTCAATAGTTAAGGATAAAAAAAATTACTCATAAAATATGGATAACTTCAAAATCTACAACGATAAAGTATGAATTATTTTTAGTTATTACGGTGATATCAGCAAAAATTCTGTTTTATTTTTTGATAATATAAGGCAGTCAATTATAAAGTATGCGTCAAAATGACGTCACTGAGTGAATTCCAAAATATAGTATTAAGCGATAAAAATTGTACGAATTAATGAATAATAAAAAAGCAGAAATTTGTAAAAAAAAAATGTATATTGGGAAACATTTCTTTTATGTTGCGCTTTCGAATCCTCTTCACCCACCTCGTACTCAAATTTATAAAGTAATTTTTAAGCTATTTTCAAAAAAAGTCGTATTACGTACTTGTTTTCGTAATTTTTCTGTACTTTCACATTGAAATTGTTTGAAAATCAAATTTTATCGGTTTTTGCAATTGTTCATTTTTCCAGGTTTAATTGCCAAAGAAGGAAACGGCTTATTGTTAAAATATTTTAGTGTGTACATTAGAGCGGGCGAAAATTTCGTTTAATATTAATAAGTCGTGAATTTGTCCTCCAAAAATTCGATATCGATTTTATTGCTATTTTATATTTGAATATTAATAAAAAAAAAAACATGTAAGTTACAAAATTTTTTTTAATGTTGCGATATAGATTTTTTAATATTGGTAATAACATTTATCGAAATTCTTTAATAGTTACGTACAATAAAATAATCTATTACTAATCAAAAGAATAGGAAAGGAAAAAATTATTTTCGTAATACATTAAAAATTTTTAAAGACTCGAACGGACACATGATTTCATTTATTAACAGGTTGTGACCACGTTACGTTACAAAAGCACTCATGTCGAATTTTTTCAAATTAGTTGTAAATCGTTTTGCGTATATTACCTTTGCCGTATTAGGTAAATATTTGTTCATCAAAATAAAATGTTTATTATAAAAGGTTATTTATTTTTTTTTAGGTGATATCCGAAACTTGGCAATGGAAAAGGTGGCAAACAACTTAATGTTTCCTTGTAAACACAAACAAACTGGTTGCCGGATGTCACTAGGTTTAAATGAAAAAGCTGAACATGAAGAAGTATGCGAATTTAGACCTTACAGTTGCCCTTGTCCGGGTGCATCCTGTTCTTGGCAGGGTCAACTGGAGAAGGTGATGGTTCATCTGCAGCACGCGCACCAAAATATTACTACCCTTAATGGAGAGGACATCGTCTTTTTAGCCACGGAAATTAATTTACCCGGAGCCGTTGACTGGGTGATGATGCAAAGTTGTTTTGGACATCATTTCATGCTCATTTTGGAAAAACAGGAAAAATGCGACGGGCACACACAATTTTTTGCGATCGTTCAACTTATTGGTTCACGTAAACAAGCCGAACATTTTGCTTATAGGTCAGTATTAATCTATATCATAATTGTTAATAGTTATCTTAATTTTTCTTTTTATTAGATTGGAATTGAATGGTAATAGACGCAGATTGACATGGGAAGCGATGCCTCGATCGAGTCACGAAGGTGTTGCGTCGGCAATAATGGGATCAGATTGTTTGGTATTTGATACGTCGATCGCCCAACTATTTGCTGATAACGGAAATCTCGGTATAAACGTTACCATATCTGTAGTGTGCTAAGAAAAGACGTTCGATTCTAATTATTAATTCTTTTTTAAGCCCGTTCGATCGCGTTGGTTCCATCGTATTTTTCATTAATTTTATTAATTTCATGTTTAAAAAGTCGTATATATGTAATGTGGTCCTGTAATTTTGCGTTTGATTGTGTTATGAGCTTCGAAGTCCGCTGGTTTCGGTGATTCGTTTCCTGATGCGCAATTTTTTCGGCGAAACAATGATTAAATAGCTCACAAGACTCTCAATGAGTGTTGTTTCGAGCAAAAATTGCGTTTCCTATAAATTAATTAATGGGGAGATGAAAAACAACCATCGAGCGAGTACAGTTTTATGTAATTCAACCTTAACAATGTGAAAATGGTTTTAAAATTATTAATTATTGATTTTTCACGTTTCCGTTTGAAACGATCTGTTCCGTCTGTTGCGGTCACGTCAAAGTGGTGGTATTATACGAAAAACCTTATAAGGTAGCAGTATTAAAATGAAAGCGGCGATGTGATAGATTTTTATTTTCACACGTGACCACCGAAATAAGCCGCTGTATAATAGCATCACATTATGCATGTAGTTTGCACATATAATATTAATTAACCGAGGGAACGTTCTACAGGCTGAGCGCTGTACCATGCAGGGATTAATCGACAAATATCTTCGTTTTTTTTTTAATAACCGTAACCCTATGGGCGACGCATCCTCATTGACACGTACGTCAGCGAAGGACTTTTTGTTGTATGTGATAAATAGCAACTAGTATTTTTAAGTTTAAGTTTTTAAGAGTGGTATCATTGTTCAGTAAAATATATCTACTTATCAGTAATGTAAATACAATCTAGATTTGAGCCTACTTAATAAATTTTATCTTTTATTTTATTTGTTTTCATTTTAAAAATAGTTACCAAAATCAAATTTTGAATCTGTTTTTGTAAATTTAAAGAAAATCTGTTATTAGAAGACATCTATTATTTATTTTTTTATTCAAAAACTATGTTAGTTAAGTTTCAAACCCAAACCAAGCTTTTAGTGTGGCAATAATAGTTTTACTACTAAGTAAAAGATGGCAGAATACATTTGTACTTGCTTATTATTGTTTCGTTGGCATTTTATTATGTTTTTGGTCCTTATCAATGAAGAATTCGATCAAATTATTGGATTCATATAATTTCGGAAAGAATAAAGACAATACATAGCAATAACTCATGCAAGAATATATATCTAAATAATACAAACATTTTCCCACGCTCAAGCTCCAAAAATTAGTTTTATTGCCCTTACATTTTATTCTAAAATGATTTTTGTAATCACATAATTTCACTAAAAAGAAAAGGTACAAATATATTTCATAAATATTTGTGTAAAAAGGTTTAAATAAAACAATCTTTTTTTAATAAGTATATATTAAAATATTGTACAGCCGTGAATTTACTAATAAAAAATATAGGATGATTTAAATTGGTGATAAGTTGACCCGTTCCGCTTTGGTTAATTCAGGATGCCAGACATCGACGATGAGAACGAGTCGATATTCGGTGCCATTATGCCAAACTTCGTGCTCGAAGCTATCGTCGAAAACAATAATTTTCCCCTCTTCCCAGCTCCTAAAACTCCCCGTATTAAATTTAAGTTTGTCAAACTTGTTTTTTACAAACCTTATTTCTTCAGCTACTCGAATGTAAGTTTTTGGAGGTACTTTTAGCCCTAAATGAACTCTTAAACGACAATTAGTTGGTCCGCAATGAGGCCATACGTGCGTTCCTGGATGCATGACGCTAAATTTAACCTGTCCTCTTCTGCAGGTTCTTGTTTCTGGGGATGCTTCGATAATTTGGCAAGTTATGGGACATTTAAGGCAGTTTTCTTTGTTTTTAACACCTCGAGCATACAGTTCAAATTGTTTCCAGTCGCCTACGTCTTTGAGATTTTCGGATTCGTCTTTGAAATAACCTTTTTTGTCAAGCATAGAAAGACCTTCATTACGTATTTCTTTCCAATTTTGTCGGAGAAGCTCGTAAAGTTTATCATACGGTGTTTGTTCTGGTTCCCAAAAAGGTTTTCCTGTTAATCTATTTACATTATAAAGCGATCTTTGGTATTTCGACAAAAAAACCTTATTTATCACACCGTCTTCGTATATTTTTATAGCTTCCTCTGGTTTCCCGATTCTCGCTAAAGCATCGCCTAAATGAAAGTAAAATCTTCCGTCAATAACACCCGGTTCTTTTGTTGCGATTCCTTTGGTGAGGTATTCTATTGCTAAAGATAAGTTATTGTCAACTGTTTTTAAGATAAAACCGTAATGGACTAAGGCGAAACCATCTTCAGGCCATTTTTCCAAAGTTTCCAAAAGTAACATTCTTGCTGTTGTGACTTTGTTTATTGTTAATAATGTGACTGCAAAATCGTTTCTATATTTTATTTCGTTGGGAAATTTTTCTAAAAGTTTTTGGTGAATTTCAATTGATTTTGCGTAGTTTCCTAAGATTTTCTTAATTATTTAGTGATTCATAAAAATATTTTTTTTATACCTATAAATCTCATTCTCTCAATACATCTTTTGGCAGCTGCTAAAAACAACGCGTCAGGTACATATTTGGCATTAAGGACTTTTGCGAAATACTTAATTGATTCTTGTAGTATTTCGTTGCTTCGTTTCTTTTCCGCAAGTTGATCTAAGGCCCTCGCGCGCCCATAGAGGGCACGCGGCGATCCCGGATGATCTTCAAGGATTTTTATGAATAGGGTTAAGGCTAAGGGTAAATTCTTCCAGACAAGGAGGGGAGCGCAAGAAAAAAACACTCTGATTAGTAAACGAGTCTCTTTGCAGCATGCAAAAAACGTGGTCCCGATGTCGTCTCTATTAGTCAAATTGTGTGCGGTGGCTAATAAAAACAATCGGAAAAGTTATCGTACCATAATAGACTGAATTAATTAAAAATAAAAACATTCCAAGGGGGTAATAAAAAAATGCAAGTCGAAAACAAAAATCTAAAATCTACTAATTCTAAAAATCTAAAAACAATCTTAGTTATTATTAATTATTACTTAGCAGCGAGGTTTTTTGTTTGGGAAGTTTTTTATTCCTAAAGTTTTATTATATTTAATTTCTTTTTTGATTAATATGTTTTTAATACTCACATTGGGTAAGTGTCGTTCAGCCGTGTCTAAACTATCTCTAATTAAATAATCTTGAGAGTTTGTAATATTTTCAAATTCATACGATTGAGCGCCTGATCGTTTTTTAATTGGCTTGTCATCGTCCGAATCTGATTCTTGCACTCCTAATAATAAAAAGAATGGTTAATAAATTTTACTAATAATGTTAAGAAAATTAAACTAAAAACTTTATCAAACTTAAAACTAAAAAATTACGTTTCCACCCTCCATCTTCAATATCATCTTCCTCCTCTTCTATTTCTTCCTCCTCCTCCTCCTCCTCTTCGTCTTCATATTTATTTTTAGAACCCAGCTTCCCGTACTTCTCCTCTAATTTCTTCATCAATTCCTCATCCTCATCTTCTTCCTCATATTCTTCTTCATATTCTTCCTCTTCTTCGTCAACATCTTCGTCTTCTTCGTAATCTTCTTTGGTTTCGGGAGTTAAAGATCTTGTGTATTTAGCTCGTAGTTCTTCGTATTGCTTCTTTGTAGCTGGAACGTGGATTTCGGAGTCGCTTTCTTCTTCCTCCTCTTCTTCTGAATATTCTAAAATTCGGCTGAAAGTGTTTTTTTTAAGTAGGATCAGGGTGATTTTTTACCTTCTTCGTTTTCGAGATCCTGCTCAATTTCTTCTAACGTCGGAGGAGGTACGATTGTGTTTCTCCTCGACAAATTTGCGTCTTCTTTTTGGTGTTCATCTTCTCGTTTCGATGATGGTTTATCCGTTCGTTCTAAAGCGAACGATCGAATACCTTTACTTTTATATAGATATAATTTTAATATTTTTTTGGATATAATTTTGAAATAATTTTTATGCGGTGTTGAATAAGCTGCGCGTCGTTGGTTACAATTAATTTAGTTACAAGAAAGGTAAACTAAAATAATTTTTAAAGAGCTTAGTACCAGGAAATGCTTGAATGTTAGCGTTTTAACACTAAAATGAAAGAAAGCGAAGGAGTTTACAACAACAAAAGGGCATGCTTTGTTACCGGTTTTCCATTTCTTTATCAGTACCACATACGCGACGATCAACAGGGCGACTCCTACGCTTACTTTGGCTGCCACTGGAAACAACAGCAGCCGTTTAATCTTCAAGTCATTTCCTGATTTACATTTGTTAGTATCTAATGCCATTTTTTTCTCTTATCATAAAATTCTCATATCAAGGTACTATTTATAATAAATAAAAACGTTTGTTTTATAACGCTAATAAATACTTTTTATAGCTAGAAGAAATTAAATAGTGTTATTTAACCTAAAACTTATCTATATAATGTTGTTTTGCAAACGATTTAATCTAATTAATAGCTAAATAAATCAAACCAAAATAACAACACAAAACAAGCGTGAAACAAAAAGTACTTACTTCCGGTGTTTGCTCCGTTCGTTGCATCATCCACATCGTTTTCATCACCTTCTTGATCTTCGTCCTAACCAAATAATATGAGATAAATTTTTTTTGGAAAAGAGACGATTTTTAGATTATTTTTTTACCTTGTCTTCATCTGAAACATCTTTTCGATTCGATCTTTTTAATTTTTTGGTTTTGTCTTTTACGGGAATTTCTTCTACACCTTCATCCTCTTCATCTTCTTGCTGTTCATCAGATATTTGGGTTTGTTCTTCTTCTTCTTCTTCTGATTCTATCGGTTGTTCATCATCTTGATCATCACTTTGAGAATTTTGATCATCATCTTCATCATCTTGTTCTTCTTCATCTTGTTCATCAGACTCAGCTTGAATTTCTTGAGATTCATCAATTTCTTGCTCAGATTCTTCTTGTTCTACTTCAGATTCGTCTTGTTCAGATTCTTCGTGTTCTGATTCTTCTTGTTCTGATTCTTCCTGTTCTGCTTCTTCCGATTCTTCGTGTTCATCTTCTTCCGAACCTATACCCTCGTCTTCTTCATCTTCGTGATCGTCGTGATCATCAAATGAGACTTCATCGTGATGGTCATCGTGGTCAGGTGAAGTGTCAATCCAGCCTTCAAAGATGGTGGCGAATCTTGATTCGGAGAGAGGGATGTCAACTGCGTTATAAAAAAGGATTAAAGATGTGATATTCTTTTGATTTTTTTAACTTACTGTCTGTTAATCCTCGATGTTCAACTATGGTATAACCGAGAACAATGGCGATTGCGAGAGTGATGATGAAGAAGATACATTTGGCGCAGATTCCGCCGCCGATGGTTTTTTCTTTGTGAATGTGGATATTGGTGTCATCAGCAATAAGAGTTGGAGGCGTCGGTGTTGTTGGCTGGTGGACGTCCTCTTGATGGTCTTCTGATTAAAGGGTGGTTCAAAACGGAAAATTGTTATGGATGGGTTACGTAAAGTTTGCGGCGATTTTTACCTTTTTTCTTGCGTTTGTCTTTTCTCTTTTTCGGTTGCACGTCGCCTGACATTTTCTAGGCGACGCATCTGCTTTTACCCGATCCGCTACTTTATAATTAACACCGTTAGGCAACGGCCGCTCTCGCAGGACTACAACTATTTTAATTTTGGACCAGGCCGAGCATCCACGACGGCCTACGAATCTAGAAATTACAAAAATAACACTTTCGAGCCCGTGGTGGCGAATCTCAGGTGCGCCGGAAGGGTTCTATCTCCAACAATTTGTACAGTTATGGGACGCACCGGAATAAAAAAAATCTTAAAAATGGGTACAGTTACTTTGGGTTAGTTTGGGCGGCGATCGGCGATAGGCGCAGGTAAAAATCGAAAGCGGAAGCGCATATTACTCGAAATCCCGTTCTGTCGTGTGACGCCACGTTTTTCGGCATTGTTATTGTTGTTACGGGTGGATGGTGGACGCCGAAGGGTCGAAGCACCCTTAGTCGCGTGGCGGCGGTGTGACATGTTACTTTATCCATTTCCCACGATTACTGACCTAACATCCCTTCTCTTTCCCTTTCATCCCCCTTTACTTCTCTGCGAAATTTTGCTAATCGCTTTGCTTCTTGTTTCTACCCCTATCTTTTTCTATTTTATAGGGTTATTATTTTCAAGGTCTTTTTTATATTTATTTTTTTCAATACAATAATATATTTATATACTTATACATTTTTCTTCTATTATTTTCTTATCTTTTATATATTTTATATCTTTATATCTAGATATTGATAAAAAATTGGTACATAATATATAGATATATATTAATATTAAAAATATTAATATATATTTAAGGGTGTTGATGTTGAGATTAGAAAAAAAACTTATGCATCTTAAAAGTTCCTGCAAATTATGGCACTCGATGGCGTTAGTACGATTAAACGCGCGAGGGCAAATTGAATGGTAGTTATCAAATGATTCTCGATGAAGAATGGATTTCCCTATTCGATTAGTAGCAGGGGTGGTTGTGGGAAAGTCTCTCTAACGGCATACACACGTGACCGCTCTTTCGTGTATCAGGGGAGAAAGCGAGACAGTCCGAATGAGTTCACCCTTCCGTCGAAGGGAGAAAGGTTGCAGTCGCGTGTTAGGAGAACGGCGGGCCGCGTGGTGGGGACAGTGGTGGGGTGAAAACGTGCCGTGACGTCGTTTGGTCGACGGCCGATCAACAGGACAGACATACAACCGTCGTCTTTACACGCGTTCAGGTTTGACGACAACCGTCGGACACGCGCCTTTCGCTTCCTTCTTATTATGGACCACAACACTCCTCTTCATTGGGGGTACTCCTCCGCCAACGCACCTTCTTGGCCACCCGCCCAACGGTCATCCGGCTCAAAACGACCACTGTCCGAAAGTGATGACTGCGACGATGTCTTCTCCGAGGAGTCCTCAAAAGAACAGTAAGTCTCTATATATTTCTGTTTTCATTTTGAAATGAATCATGATTTCCTAGATGTACTTCCCCTGGAAATGCTGATAGTTGTCAGATGTTGTCAAGGAAAAAACGACGTGGTGTTATTGAGAAAAAAAGGAGGGATCGTATAAACACCTCTTTATCGGAATTAAAAAGATTAGTGCCCAGTGCTTTTGAAAAACAAGGATCTGCCAAGTTGGAAAAAGCGGAAATACTTCAGATGACCGTTGACCATTTAAAAATGTTACATGCCAAAGGTAATTTTTTATTGTAATATTTATAAAGAGCGTAATTTTATGCAGTGAAACATGGTTTTTAAATGGCCACTGCATGTAGATCGGTTAGACACCTGTTGCTTGTGTTATTTAACGAACACTATTTCCGCTCGTTATATTGATAATCAGAAGTTAAACTTAAAATTATTGATAAACATAAATATATATGTAATTGTTGATCCGATATTTAATCAGTGTTTATTAATAATTTACTATCAAATTGTTTTGTTCATAATAAACAAATTTATGTAGATTCTTAAAATTTCTATAAATTATTAATAATGATTTAAAATTAATTTTTGTTTAAGTCATTGTCATAGTTCACAAAAATTAAATGTGAACACGTGATATTTGTTTACGTACTCAAGCCAACAAGTGTATCAAACCGTTCCCACAGCGTGATCACACCTGGCCACCCTCCATTTCCCACGCGGTGGCCAAACTCAAACCCAACCCTTCCATCCATCCATTCATTCACCTGACATACAGGTCGTAATGTGGTCGTTTCATTTTTTCGCAGGATTGGACTCCTTCGCTTATGACCCTCATAAGTATGCAATGGATTATCACGGTATGGGTTTTAGAGAATGCGCCGCAGAAGTAGCCCGTTACCTTGAGAGAATTGAAGGGTTGGACATCCAGAATCCATTGCGTCTCAGATTGACCTCTCACCTTCAATGTTGTGCGGCACAAAGGGAGTTGGCATCTAAACAGGCTGTAGCGAGTAGCGGACCTTGGGGTTACGGTTCTCAACCACCATACCCATTAAATCCACTTCCTCCGTCGCCGGCAGGGCCAAATCATGGTCCGATTCATCATCAACCACCTCCTCCGGGCCCAGCTCCGCCGTCGTCATTGCATCATCAACCGATGCATGATATCAATTATGATATTTCGACTTCTTGCGCCGTAACGGTTCCGAGCGATTCTTCAAGGTTACCACCGTCTTCGTCCAGCACGGTTTTAACACCTTTAACGACAACCACATCCTCAGCTTTGGGTTATGGTCAATACCCAAACTCTTTTAGTATTCCAAGTAGCAGTCATCACCAGAATTATAACCAAACTAACCCTCCGCAAGGCATGAAGCCTTATAGACCATGGGGTGCCGAAGTTGCTTATTAATGCCAAAGCCAAAAGAAGCCTTGATTAAGTTAAGATGACCCCTCGAAAAAACGACACAGGGGATATAGTCAATTACGTACCTTTTATTTAAGAATATCATATTTTTTACTGTATTTATTGTAAATAGTAATATTTTTATATTTAAAATAAACCAAAATATATTTTTCACAAATCCGTTATTTTAACCCTTTTCAAATCCGCACATAACTGGTTTTAGGGTTGCTAAAGCGAATTTTTTGCAAAAACCGGTTCGTTCGCGTTTCCTTCTATTTTCAGATTATCTTAGTCGAATGGTCACTAAAAGAGTGACCGGGTTCATTAACGCGGAATTTCGAAAAACTTCGAACGGCCCGCGACAAGGTTAAAATGTAAATGTAAACGGGGGCTATATACCAGGGGCTGGGACACACGTGGTGGCGAAACGTGGGAATTTTTCGCTTACCCGGCTCTCATGCGTCCACCTTTCTCTTAAGGGCACACGCCAGTAACTACTAAAAGGGGGGTGCCTAAAAGGGATTGTTTATATATTTGTTGGTATTGGATAATTTTAAATCATAATAAAAAAAAATTATTTATATATATTTTTTTTATAATAAATTTAAAATTTAAGGGTGAAACTGTACTAAATACAAAATCGAAAACAATAGTCAATTGACGAGTGTCCGACACGTGCCAAACTACGTCATAGTGCAAATCCCGTCTCATTACCGTGATTCAAACGAGACGAAATTGTGCTAAGCCTTCTGCTTGAACGAGCGGAAAATCGGAAAGGAGAATGAACGACGTAAAGTTTATTTTAAAATGCTTTATTTATTATGTACAATTTGAAAAATAGTTCTAGAATCGATCACAGCCCGTTATCGAATACAAAAAAAATGTGTTAATTGACCTTGTTAGCTAACTCAATAACTTCATTGAAGATGTTTTGTGACGTTTCCATCTCGAGTAATGTTATGTCGGTAGACACTGATGTGCGCTCTTTTAACGAGACGGATAAAAATGATACTTTGCTGTATCGTCGTTTTGCGCATATTTTTCTGATTGCGTTGTTAAAACTTTTTAACGCCGTCTAAAAAAAATGTTAAATAAAACGGTTTAAGTGATATTAAATCTGGTCGTGTTCTAATTACGAGACATACCTGCAACCAATTATTGCCGACGTAAAATGGTAATTTACCGATAGGCATGTTTGGAACGTTGTCGATGAAATGACGTTGATGCGATGAACTCCGAGGTATATACAACCGCCCCCACCAAACAAACGCCTCCCGTTCGATCATCGTAAGGGGATGCACTTTATTCGGACGTAATACTAACACCCTTGGGGCATTATAATTGTAATCACATTAAGTGCCGACCGATTCTGGTTATGGATATTGCATTTTAATTCAATACACATCACCCTGCGCGATGCAAATCGTTAATCAAAACGGGAGAAATCGAGTCACTGCCTTCTGCGATGTTTACCGAATTCGGTTTAACCAATTTGTTTTTTACGAAACATCCACTAACTAACGCTAATTTATCAACGTATGTTACCTATTTCCCACTAGGTACATGCGGGCTAAGTATTTTATCCTAACCGGATATGTATCTGATAATAAAAAAGACTAAAAATACTTAAACGTTTTCTATTAATAAACTTAGAACAAGTAAAAGCGATTATTTAAGTAAAGTTTCTATAAAGTAATGAATCAATTTATTTTGAAAGTAAAATTTTAACCTAATTAGAATTTTGTGGATAAAACTTTTAAGTCTCATACTTTTAAGTTTATTAACTAGTAAAACAAGTTGGTTGCAAGTTAATAAATCCTTAAAGTTACCCGATAGGATAAACCCCTACCTTATTAAAGTTGCGCAACGGTAACTTTATAAGTCGACAAATAAAAAATTTTCGATTCAAATTTAGGGGTCCCGTTAAAAGCGGCAATTAAAGAATAATAAGAATAATAAATAAATTCAAATGTCAACCCGTCAGTCAAACCGTCGTCGTGTAACGTAGCCAACAAAAAAAACCTTCTAATTGATTCGGATTAGTCACACCGCGGCCGACGCGCTATTGGGGTGAGTTACTTTTTATCTTACACACTTCGAGGGTTAGATAATGTTGACCCGTGTCCAGTTTGAACGGACCACTTCAAAATCAATCAACTTGGGAAAATATTTGCATTATGCCCGTGCATAAATCGCCTCCGCTCGAACGTAACGCATATGAATATGCCAAATTGTATATTACCAAATCGTAAACTAACTTTTATTATCGATACTGATTATATTATCGGAATCATATAGAAACTACTATATCTCGGATGAGTTACAGCCTACAATATTTGCTACATTGTCAGAATTTATTATCCGTGAAAGGACAGATGGGAGGTGCTTGGGTTGTAATTTTAAATTAGGGGGCGGAAAACTGACCGCTGTCCAGCAAGTCTATTGATATCCAAAGAAATTCATTTTAAAGACTGAAATTCATAAACTTTTATTTATATACACTTTTATTTTTAATATTATCAACAAATCAATGTTAATAATTAATTAAGATTTTTAGGCAATAAGGTATTTATTTCTGCACCTCGCCCGCAAGCGAACATATCATACCATAAATTATATAAGGGATTGTACAGAGGATTTCTTAATTTGGTGGTGGTTCTAATAGCTGATGTCTCTGTCACTTGAATGTTTTTCAGTGACTTATTTCCAATTTTAAAAAACAACGGGGCTCCGTATTCGATGTAGTCTACATATTGTTTTGTAAATATGCATCGCACATTTAATGTTAACACCATTATTCTTGAATGTCAGGCTTCTAAATTGCTTGGCAATTGCTTTCATTTTAACTTTTTTGTATGAATATCAAATTTCAACTTATTGTCAATCCCTAAATATTTGCATGTCTTCGTTGGCTGGATCAAGGTGTTCGTTAATCTGATGGTCGGAGAATATTCAGAAGTCCCATGAAAAGGCAGAAGCAGTTGTGATTTTTGAGGGTTTATGTAAATACGCCAAATTTTGAACCACTTTTTTACATCCACAGTCAATGTTCGAAGTCTATTTAATGCTTTTTTTAAGGTCGTATCGTGAGTGACTAACGCTGTATCATCTGCATACTGCAGCATATAAGCAGTTTGTACGTACTATGGGCATCATATCATATCAAGTTGGAGAAAGCGAAGTCGAGGCGTTGCATTTGATACCACCCGGTAGTTCTTAAACAACACATATCACAGCAAAACTATTTGTTAATACCTTATTCACCCAAAACTGGTTAAAACATAATCCCTCTTCTTTTTTTACTGAAATGATTCCAAAATTATAAGAAATATAAAAATTATATTTGTTCGAATATCTGATGAAAACTTGGTATTCTTGGATTTGTTCGGTATTCTAAAGATTTATGATCCATGAAAAAGCCAGATGTGAGGTGAACGTGTAAGGGGCGTGAAAATAGCCAATGTCCATCCACTTGGTAAAAGGGAAGCTATAAAATGGTACTGTTATAATTCGGGTTGTTAAAATTGAACGATGGTTAAAAATGGCACGATCATACTTGTTGAATTAAAAGCTGATTGGGAAAAAGGGGTGCGAATTGATTGTAAATCGATCAGTCAAAGTCAAATCTTCGCCTCCGTCATACCGTATGTTGATCCGATACCGCGACCGGCGAACTTGATAATAGGCCGAGTGTCATAGAATTGATAAATCGTTCCGCGATGATCGCGGAAGTCGAAATCAACCATAACAATAGAAAAAAATAAAAGAGAGAGATCTTCTTGTCAATATAGATTATATTGTACTACATATATTCCACCATATATACACAGAATAATTTCTTCCTACACAAAAACAAACATCGAAATCGCTAGCGCGGTACATCGCTCAACATTAAAAAACACGTAAAGCGGAAACAATGTGGAAAGTAATAAACAATTATATAGTACAGTAAACTTCGGATATAACGAACAAGTTCTAATATGTATTTTTTGAATATACTAAGTTATATCCGATTCGTTCGTTATATCCGATATTAACTTTATATAAAAATTAATAGTATAAAAAAATAATAATGTAAAATCCTACCTTCGGAGTGCACAAATAACTGTCAAAGCGCTGCTGCGCTGACGGAGGACACTTATCTTAATTAGCGTTAAACGTAATCGTTTAATTATTGTCGAAGGAAACTTTATACATAACCTCAGATTAAAAGAAAAATCAACATCTCGCGTGCACTCGGCGACATCTAACCAACGATTGATAAACTCACTACAGTGTATTATCTTTTCACTAACAATTCGACCATTCGTTCTTAGATGGCGCCACGACGAAAACTTTTACATTTATATTCATTAATTAATATTAATCAATATATTAATTAATACTCTTATTATTGTCATTGTCTATCTACATTTTCTTTGTAAAATTGACAATTATTAGTTTTTTTTATCGATGCAAACGTACGATAATGTAGATCATTTCGATTTTTGTACCTTTTCATATCAGTTTTATTTCTTTTTAATTTAATTTTATTTTATTTTGTTTGAAAGAATAAGTATTAATGAGGATTTTCTCTGAAACAATCTACTTTATCCTACAAGAAATGCTACATACAGGAAAATTTTAATTAACCAGCTATAACAAAAGAAGATTTTTGTTGTAGATAGACGATGTGTATACATCCGTTTTTGATGATCAAAATTTAAAAGTGTTTGATTACTTCGCCATCTTACTCGAATAGAAATAAATAAGAATTGACATAGGAGTGACAATTTTTAATATTGACTATGAATTTCTTTTAACACAGGTTCTCGTTAAATACAGTTGCACTGGAAGCACATATAATTCCAGTTTGCCGTTTAGATTTTCTTTTCACTAATTGCGCAAAGCTTAAAGAACATGTAATTTTCGAACAGTTTTTTCTTTATATAATCTACTCTTTTAACGTACAACAAAATTAGTTTGTTTAAATTTTATTATCTTCTTTTTTTTTTCATAATTTTTCATTAAATTTCTCTCTGTATCGTTTCAAATAATCAAACTCGTGCGCCCACATGAACAGAAACGAATCATTATACTAACGTTATTGTCTATATATTGTCAAATATGTATAATATCACTTTGATTTCATCCTTAATACAGTTTTCTTTTCTTAATATATTCATGTGAGCTTACTTTATAAAATTCCTCTTTAAATTAAATTTAGTGATTGCCCACATTTTCACGCATTTTTCCCCAATATAACTTACCGGCTCCCCAAACAGTTTGCGACTCCTTTTTTGTAGTAATTCGTTCATATCCAAATAATCAATCAAAGAGAGTACGACAAATTGTTTGGCAGCCTACATTTATATATATATATATTTTCTTATGTTTCAATACATACAGATGTCCGTTGTTATTGTCGATATGTTTGTCGGAGAGAAAGGGATAGTTTCGTAAGATGATCTCGTAACACAATAACTCGCAATATTATTACAAACCCGTTTGCGATTCGGATTGTAGTGATTTAAACCTTAATTTCTAAGGAGAGGTAGAAGAATGAATTTTGGTGATGACTGATTATGTAATAATAGGATTCGTATTCGCTATTTAATCTATTATTATCTATTATTATACGCGTATTTTCAATAATACGCGTTAACCGTTTGAAATATCAAAAAAAGTTTCAAACAAAAGTTGTTCAAAAATGGAAAATTTATACTTCTGCGAGATTTTTGATTAATTATTGTTAACCACTTTTTCTAAATAACATTTTTTGATATTTCATAAAATAAAGGAGGAAAATTAAAAATTCTCACGCCGAAATATTGTAATAATTTCCTAATTTAAAAGATTCAATGGTAGATAGAGTACGCACAATCTAAAACCGGTTTGTCACACCACCAATCCTTTAAGGGCGCGGCTAATACAAAAATTAGGAAATTATTAAATGTTTTGGCGTGGGAATTTCTAATTTTCCTCCTTTATTTTATGAAATATCAAAAAATGTTATTTAGAAAAAGTGTTCGTTTAATAATTATCTACACATCTTCTAAGCCCTTTTAAAAATGCTTCTTAATAATCTCGGTAATTAACAATAATTAATCAAATATCTCGCAGAAAAAGTATAAATTTACCATTTTTAAACAACTTTTGTTTGAAACTTTTTTTGATATTTCATAAAATAAAGGAGGAAAATTAAAAATTCCCACGCCGAAATATTGTAATAATTTCCTAATTTTTGTATTCAATGGTAGATAGAGTACACACGATTTCGGTAAACCCGGTTCGCCACACCACCAATCCTTTAAGGGCGGGGTTAATACAAAAATTAGGAAATTATTACAACATTTCGGCGTGGGAATTTTTAATTTTCCTCCTTTATTTTATAAAATATCAAAAAATATTATTTAGAAAAAGTGTTCGTTTAATAATTATCTACACATCTTCTAAGCCCTTTTAAAAATGCTTCTTAATAATCTCGGTAATTAACAACAATTAATCAAATATCTTGCAGAAAAAGTATAAATTTACCATTTTTAAACAACTTTTGTTTGAAACTTTTTTTGATATTTCATAAAATAAAGGAGGAAAATTAAAAATTCCCACGCCGAAATATTGTAATAATTTCCTAATTTTTGTATTCAATGGTAGATAGAGTACACACGATTTCGGTAAACCCGGTTCGCCACACCACCAATCCTTTAAGGGCGGGGTTAATACAAAAATTAGGAAATTATTACAACATTTCGGCGTGGGAATTTTTAATTTTCCTCCTTTATTTTATAAAATATCAAAAAATATTATTTAGAAAAAGTGTTCGTTTAATAATTATCTACACATCTTCTAAGCCCTTTTAAAAATGCTTCTTAATAATCTCGGTAATTAACAACAATTAATCAAATATCTTGCAGAAAAAGTATAAATTTACCATTTTTAAACAACTTTTGTTTGAAACTTTTTTTGATATTTCATAAAATAAAGGAGGAAAATTAAAAATTCCCACGCCGAAATATTGTAATAATTTCCTAATTTTTGTATTCAATGGTAGATAGAGTACAAACGATCTCGCTAAAACCGGTTCGCCACACCACCAATCCTTTAAGGGCGGGGTTAATACAAAAATTAGGAAATTATTACATTATTTCAGCGTGGGAATTTTTAATTTTCCTCCTTTATTTTATGAAATATCAAAAAATGTTTCAAACAAAAGTTGTTTAAAAATGGAAAATTTATACTTTTTCTGCGAGATATTCGTTTAATAATTATCTACACATCTTCTAAGCCCTTTTAAAAATGCTTCTTAATAATCTCGGTAATTAACAATAATTAATCAAATATTTTGCAGAAAAAGTATAAATTTAGCATTTTTAAACAACTTTTGTTTGAAACATTTTTTGTTATTTCAAACGGTTAACGCGTATTATTGGAAATACGTTTGTAACAGCCTTATTAAAAACCAAATTCAAGCAAAACTAGAAATTCTCTGTGCTGATCGGTGTGAATTTTAATCGATTAAAAGCACTCCTTAGATACTTAAAGAGGGTAAGAGATATCGAAAAATTGATTTTGATCATTTTTGTAAGGTACCAAAAAATAGAAAAAGCTTTATGGTGTGTGTCAAAATTGTTGTAATCGATTAAAAACATCTTTAGAATGCTTAAGGAGGACGAAAGAATAAAAAAAATTTATTATTTAGTTCCTGGTAGGTGTCTCGCACAAATTCATCTTGATCGATTTAGGGTGTTAGATAATTAGGTTTAAATTAATAAACAAGAAAAATTAGGATTTTCGAAAAACCGAAAATCCTTTTTAATCTGCTTGTTATTTAAGTTTGTGCTGATACGGTATAGCTACCAATTAAACTGATGTATAAATTGGTGATTTCAAATATAAAATTAACCACAATTGTCGATTTAATTGAATAATATCAGTGAATTCTAATTTAAGCTGGTCCATTACGACCATTTAAATTATGACAAAGGAATTTCAGCTTTGAATGATTTCGATTTTGAACGGTGATATTTTTGGGTAACACCAAAATTCATTTTAAATTGATTGATTTTCAGGTTTGAAATAAAATTGCGTGATACCGTTTAGGGTAGTTAGGAAGGGGATAGAAACGAATAGGACATCTGAGTGTACGCAAAAGTTCCTAACATCATTTATAAATATCTATAGAAAACTATGATTCCTCTTCTAGGGGTATAAAATATATCCAAGCGTCGCCCGCGAGATGCCCTTGGGGGATGGGAAAGTCCTTATTGTCGTGACGACCGAGTGTACCATGTATATAGTGTAGGTTTATCTAAAAAAAGGTCCCCCAAGGCCACGGGCGGGCGAGTGTACACAGCTTTAAAAACAGATCACATGTAAATCAGCTGCCGCCAGAACACTAGGTCGAGAATTGTCGCTTTTTATCACTAAGAGGTTTAAACTTGACTAGAACTTGTGCGTAGCTCGATCGCAACAGGGTCGCGATCGGTTTTAATACTGCTTTTTGGGAAACGGGGGTCGAGGGGGGCCGCGAAATGAAAGGAAAACCAGCAGTTAGTCGCTGCCATCCTGCATCTGCTGCAGGATCCACGGAACGTACTTTGGGACGTACGCATAGACCCCCGGTAGATGGGGGTGGGCGCACTTGATGCCCCAACTAACGATCCCCCCCACAAACCATTTGTCGACGTCGCCGTCGTCCCTGCACAAAAGCGGCCCTCCGGAGTCGCCCTGGGGAAAAGAAGTTTAATTTTCGAGCAAACCCCGTATTTCGCAATCGATAAGCCTGGAACGGTCGCAGGAATTTTAATTTTCGAATTCTCTTATGAATTATTCGACTTGAACCGCCGCGGTTATTATCGATACTCAAAACGATCATCTACGATATCACCATAAAAAAACAAAAACTTATTTACTTTTAATGTTTGTCTACAAAGAAAACCAATCCGACTGTTTTTTTTCTTTCCAACGTCAACTACTATTTCCGCTACTCTGTACTTTTCGTTATTAAGTCACTGCAAACTCTTTCGATTCTTTTTCTTTCTTTATTAAATGCTCTTTAAAAGAAGTTCCCCTTTAACTTTCTGACTCTTATTTAGTTTGATTATATCGTTTTCTGTGATAAACGCACGTGGCGTGTGCAATTTGAATTAATGAAAGTCCGTTATTAAGTCGACGCGGGACTTTAGATTTACATTCTCGAGGACGAACATAAAACTTACCTGACAAGCGTCTTTGCCTCCGTCTTTGTAACCAGCACATATCATTCCGTCCGTCACGTTCAAGTCGCGGTTCTCAAGCCAGGAGTTGCACAGCTCCCGCTTCAGCACGGGCACGTTCACCTCGTTCACTTCAGGCTCGTACTCCGACACTGAAACATGCACATTTAATCTTCGTCTCCCGAGTTCCACGTCCGCCCACCTACTTTCCGTGTCCTCCTTCTTGCCCCAGCCGATAACCGTACACATCGTTCCCGGATGTAGAACTTTATTTGCGGGTGGTAAACAAACTGGTAAAAGATGTTCGTGGAACGTAACAGGAGACGCAAGCTTATAAACAATTATAATATTATTAAATATTTATTTTTAAGTATTTTTTCGAATTACCTGAAAAAGAGCAACATCGTTGTCGTGCGAGATACCGTTATTATAATTGGGATGGGGCACCACTTTTCGAACTTTCATTTTCTGCCCGTAATAGGAATGGGCGTGTCTGCGGGTAATCCCTAGTTGAATCGTCCACCCAGAAACGTCCGAGTGGCTGAAAAAATAGAAAAATTAGTAAGCTAACGCACTCTGGCCATTTTTGCGATTTTTCAGAGTGCTCCCAAACTATATATATTATACATACTTTCCGACGCAATGCGATGCAGTGAGTACCCACTGGTCCGCAATGAGCACGCCAGCACAGTAGAAGATTTCTTCAGGTCCTCCAAGTAACGCAGCCAAAAAGGGCCAATCTCCCGGCATAGACTTCGTTCCGCCAACGATCCTTTTCACCCTTTCCGATTCTCGAGTGGTTTTACGCGCTTTTCCGCACACTGAAAAGCAAAAAGATGAGGAGAATGTCCAATAAACCCACGGAACGTACCGAAATTCGTGCAAGTTATATCCACGGTTAAAGAAGGTTTCCCTTTGCAAGCTCCGAACGCCCGCAGCATGTTCTTAGGAGTCGCGCTCGTCTGCCTTTGCGATAGCTTCCACAACGTGTCGCTCTTTGGAATCACCGGAGTGTTATTAATCTCGACGCCTTTCAACATATGCCTGCTACCGTTTAAAGTCCTGCAGAAATCCTTCGATAAACTTCCTCTTAATACTCTATTTAATATTAACTTACGAATATCCCAACATATGGCAAATCATTTCCGGAGTGATTGAGTCAAAGTATTCCACGCAAGCAGGCATCCATTTTTGATGCTCGGGTTTGTACACCTCTAATTGTCCTCGGCCTTCATCCCCATTTCGTTCACTCAATCTTACTACAAAATTATTAATTAACAATTCTATATAAAAAGAATTCTTTTTTATGCAACTTACAACAATTTCGCTCATCTTGAGCCCACGGACAATCCACTTTGCCGTCGCACATGTATGTTTGCGTGATACAACTGTCTTTTCCACAGTGAATTTGATCGGGAGCACACGTCTTACAGTTGAGCTCATCGGATTGATCTTTACAATCAATATGGCCATCGCATTTCCAGTCATACGGGATACATCGACGTATATCACATTGAAAACCCGAATGACACACTTTCAAAAGCAAAAAAATATTTTTAATGATCGAAACGCTTTTATTAAAATATTGGAAAGATGTCTAACAAAGCTTATAAGGGTGAAATGGCAAAAACCGTGACGAAGATGGAATGTATTTCGAAACGGGGCGTAACGCAGCGACGTCGTTGACAGGCCGTCGAATTTCGAGGGAGCGGGAATAACAGAAGGCCGAACGAAGGTTTTATATCGATTTCGCGTTTCAATGCGACACATACAAAGCGGGATTCGGTGGCGAAAGGGCACTTACCGGGCTTTAGCGACCTCTGCTTGGCCTCTTTCACTTCGTTGTGGCCAACGCAAACGTCTGGATCCGCAGATTCTGGAAAAAGACTGCAATCGAGGTAATCAGGCAGAGGAAGACCAAAGACGTCAAGGAAGAATCCGCAACGTCGTTTTGTTTCTGAAAGACAAGAAAGGGATTTTAGACAGACATTTTTTTGTGGAGTTGATTTTAGTACCAGCACATAAACTTCTACAAGGTCGAACGACTGCACCTCCGGAACCGCACTTGGGTACAAAAACGGAGCAGAGAAAGAGAGCTGCGAGCTCGTAGCATCGGACATCGACTACGGCGTCGTAAACTTCGAGTTCCTGCTGCGCGTCTCTTTGTCCAAAATGTCCCATGTAGTTAGGGAAGACTGTGAAGTTGTACGGGACTTTGTGCTGCTGGCAAAAGCTGACAATAACCGGCAGACAGATGCCCGGAGCAGGATTGGTTCCCAACGGTTCTTGAAGTCCGCCGGAAGGCGTAGTGTTCGTCGAGTTATTCACGATGTGAATCGCCGTAGGATACGCTGCAAGTTCTTCTCCATTAGGTATACCAATCGATATTTGGTTCTAATAAAACTTACCTTTGAAGTAAGCAATCATTCCACCTCCTATAGCCAAAAGGGCGATAGCATTTACTAACAGTTGAGCAAATCTAAATCTCAGACGTACTCCTCTGACGTAATGGCTGGACGGTCTTCTCATATCCCTTATAATCTTATGGTGCAACGACATATTGGAACCGTTATGAAATCGAACGATCGTTTGTAGACTGGCGGGCGTCGAGACGCTCTTAGTTATAGCTCCGTTACTACCATCATCCTCCACCATTTGCATTTTCCCTAAAACCCCATTTTGTTTGACCGGCGTTTTCGGAGGTAACAATGGTGTCTCCATCGTTTTCGTCGTGTAACTGGGCGAGGACGTCTGACTAAAGCTATCGCTGGACAAGCTGGAATCCTGCCTCATCGAGATTTTGTGGTTCACAGGGGGTGCTTTGTTCGCTGGGGACGCGGGCGGCTTGCAGCATGATCGAGGGGCCGCAGGAACCACAGTGGGAATCCCGGGGGCTTGAACCCTCGTTTCGATCCGTTTATGGTCGACGTTAGTAAAGTTCCTGGCCGGCGGCACCGGCGGTGGCCCTCGGCTCCTCGAATTAGCCACCGATACGGGTTGTTGTTGACGTACCGTTGGTTTTTGTTCTCCTGCAGGCGCTTTCGCGGCAGGAGGTACAAAGGTTCGTTTTGGAATCGTCGGCGGCCGCGCTGGAACCGGTGGTAGTATCTACCCGTTTTTACGGTTAATAATTTTATTTATCAATGTTACCCAATCCTAAATCGTGTTACACATACCGCAACGATTGGCACTAACTAGACGTTTCATAAAAATAACAATGCGAAAAATATCTATAGAATCTCTCCGTGGAAGTTTTAGAAAAGAAACACGAACTCCAAAAAGAGAAATGCGGGAGAGAGTCCTTGCCAATCAACGCGAAATGCGACGCAATGAAGGTTGGGTGGTAATGGATGGGGTTGGAGGGTCCGCTTACAGGTGCCGTGGGTCTCTCCTCGGTTAGGGAGTAAGCGTGTGCTGAATGTCTTCTTGCGTAGATATTGGTATTGACAGGTGCCAGCGTAAGCGCTGTTGGCTGAAGGGCCGCCCCGTCGTTGTCCAGCAAATCCATGAAGGACTGTTCTCCTGCCAAGCTACCCCATCTATTCCCCATGTTAAAAAAAATCCCAGCAAAAATAATTTGTTCCTAACTTACCTCGACCTGGATCTTGGCTGCTCCAATTGGGCAATACTGTGCCGGTGCAAGTCGACCATTCCGTTCGTTGTACGCTATAGCATGTTGGACGTGGCCCACGGACCTGTTGCTCCTGCAAAATGACAAAACGTACTAATTATAAAATTTGAAAATTTTGTGTACAGCTTTTGTTGCTTGGGGTAATTGGGAGCGACGAGGCGCGCGCCGGGTGCCGATATCGGTCAGCGACCTAACGGCCGCTGCAGGGCGTACACATGTACCACTCACCTGTCGGCGGCGGGGGCGCGTGTTCAAACCTGAGCGACCGCGTGGCGAGTGTGTGTACGCTCTCGAGTACGTCTTTGCTCGTTCGGACCTGCGCCGTCTTCTGCCGACGGCGACGACGGCGCTCGATGCGGCGCCCAGTTTCGCGCTTACAAACCCTCCGAATTTTATTGCTATTTCGCCACCGGAAATCCAATATTCCCCCCACTTCATCCCCCACAATATTTGAGCTAACCAATTAAACCGTTTGTTAGAAATTATTACCAGAATAATCTTCAATAACAATTATTCCATAAGTAAACTGGTGCTAATTAAACTAAAACTAGAACTAACACTACCACTAACACTAGACCTAGAACTAGAAACTTTCGGGTAAAAATTTTTGACGTTTCGGATGCCATGTTGCAACTTTCTTCAGAAACAAGTTCGAAGTGACTTAACCCGAAAGATTCTAGTTCTAGGTCTAGTGTTAGTGTTAGTTCTAGTTTTAGTTTAACAATTACTCCTTAACATAAAAAATTTTTTTAAATCATTTTTGATTTTTTTTAGATTTGATAGAAAGTGAATGAATAAGGGTAGAAAAGCATTCGTTAATATTCAAATGCTCCAGGCTGTATGCGATACACCGCGCGAGTACTGAAGTGTTTATTCCATCGAAAATTAAATTGCACATTCGTATTAACAGCGTTGCGACCCTACCATACTAAATACATATTTATGAATCTAGTTTGAAAATGTTTTGTAACTATTTCAGAAAAAAAAAGTAATCCCTTTTGAAAGTAGTATTTATTTCTCGTAGTTAAAAATCGAAGAGTTATTACCTCTTTGTTGAGGATAATGGAACATAAAAGTGTATTTTCATCTCCATATATTCGATTTTCCTCGAACAATATTTGCTGTGTGCACAAATGGAAAACCGCGAAATGTATTCTTACCTCAACAGCACATATTTGAATATATATTGTTCCGCTGTCAACGAGAAATGGGTACAGTTTGTCGAATACGTCTGGTCCGATCGAGGCGATCGAACCAAAACGTGACGTTCGATTAAACAGCGGGGTGACGGGGAGCAAAACGTTCGTTTTTCCGGTTGGATTAGTTATTTTAACCACAACGGTGGCCAGACCGGATATACGACGTCAACATCAAAACGATGAAATAAAATAATCTCTTTGATGTGTAGTCTCAGCTTAAGGTTTAATCTTGTTTACAACCACGCAAACTAAGTATTAGGGAAAATGGCCGAAAATTGATTTTAATATTAGTGGACTCCGGCGCCGGTAACGGCGTATAAAAGCGGACAACTTTTCACCCCTTAATGGGCGTATCGATTACCCTTCCATAACCGACGGGCCCATTTTGGCCACGTCGGCAGTATTACCTAACGAAATAAAATACACAATTTAGTTTCATTGCTCTTAGCTCGTTATGTCCTAAACACCTGTAATGATCATTGTTGTATATTACATAAAAGTTACCCAATTACTCTAAGCACAAATTACGATAAATTGTCGATTAGGAAAATCACCATTTTTCCAAGTTTTTTTATATTTGCACTCTGTCAGCAGGCAAATCCGTAAAGCTCACTGTGTTAGCACAAAGGACTTTGCCGGTTATAACAAATCTACCAACCATAGACAAAAAATAATCCGGATAAAACGCAGGGTAACATTGAAAAGCAAACGAACTCGGAACAAGGCTGTAATATATGAGGAACATACTTCTATAATAGACTACCGATTAATCTAACGATTTAATTTTCTTATATTACTTACTTGGTTGACTCATACTGCAGTTTAACAAAAAATGTAGGATACTGCCTGAATAAACTGAAATCGCTTGCGGTCGAAGCGTTAAAATTTATATGCAATCGATATCACACCGGTACTAAATTGAACAAAAAGGGCGGCTTACGCGGACGAAGTTACTCCGCCCTGAGTTTAGCCGAGGTCGCTGCAACATGCCGATCAACTTTCATCAAGTTGTAGCATCACATTGTAACGCCTCGGCCGTAAACGGCAAATCTTTGAAAGTTGGTTTACTGATTATATCTTGTAAATGTTAATTTTAGGCAATCTTAGCCATCATATATCACACTCATCAAAGACAATTCTTGATGATCTTGGTATATAATCGTAGCCGAGGACGCTTGCGATCGAGGCAGAATATTTAAATATATATTGGAATCCATGTTGCAAGTTAAACATGTAATAAATAATAAAATAACTTCTACTTGCTTTATTTAAATATACAGTCGTACATGTTTCAGGAAATTATTCCCATCTTCAGCGACAAGCACGCATTAATGAACATAAAAATAAAGCTCAAACCAATGTTTTCAAACATAAACTAGAGACAGGTCATGTAATAAATTACAAAGATGTAAAATTAATTCATAAATGCCAAAAAAGTTACAAATTGGATTTATTGGAATTATTGGAGATTCATAAACATAAAAAGAACAACAAACTTAATGTTATTAATGACCAAATTTATAATAATGACAAACCATTGTTTAATTATCTTATTTAGGATGTACAAGATTTTTTGAATTTTGTGTTTTTGTATTTGTTAAATATTTCCGCAGTCTTGAAACTAGTTACCCTGATGTTTCCTTTTCATATATTCTTTCTTTGTCCTGGGATGGGGTCTTTTCCTTTTTTCCTGTTTTTCGTTCCTTTTGGAATGTATCTGGTTTCACCTTCAGTGTCTTTCAATCCTCCAAATGAACAAACCAAATTTAATGTTATACCTTATATGTTTTTTACAATTTAATTTTAATGTTTGATTTGTTATTTATATTTTTATAGGTAAAACTCTCTTTCTTTCATTCTCTAATATATTTAATTTTATTTCCTTTTTGTCTTAGATTTAACGTAATTTTAACGCCATTTAAAAAATTTTTATTATATTTTGAATTCATTTTAACATGGTCTTTCCTTTAGAAAACTATTGTTTTTTATATGTTTTGCTTGGTTTGTGATCCTTCTTACGGTTCCTGACGGTGAGTTCTTTTTTAATATGTTCAGAGTTCACTTTTCATTTTTAATTCTAGTTATTTGATTTTAAATGTTACCATAAGATTAATATCTAATGTGATTTTCATTATTTTAATAGCTTGTCGCTGAAGATGGGAATAATTTCCTGAAACATGTACGACTGTATATTTAAATAAAGCAAGTAGAAGTTATTTTATTATTTATTACATATTTAACTTGCAACATGGATTCCAATATATTATACTATTTGACGTAATAATTACATTAAGTATCAATCTATCCATGTCTCCATCTTGTCCGCATCCAGATAGGAAGATTCACAAACCAGACGTCCCCCATCGCCAGCGCCATCAACTCCCCAACATACCAGCTGGCTAAACATCTTGCAAAGATTAAGAAGAGCGTCCTAGACTACGAGATCTTTCCAGACAGGTATGACGTTTTTAGATGTGATCGATCTTTCCATAAGGGTGGAGAGATGTTACTGGCTGTTAATTCCGGAGTTGCTACTTCGAATATCATGATTGCCTCCTGTCCTATTGAATCAATTGACTTGAAAGCTGTACGGATTGACTTTAAAAAGACGAAATCGGCCTTTAACATTGTTGTCTGCTATTTCCCACCTGTTACACCTGGAGGAATGTATGTATAGTTACACCTTCGATTACATTGAATCAATGTTGGATATGTCTTTGGATACCATAGTCATGGGTGATTTTAATATTGAAGTAATAATGACTTTCTGCAATTAAATAATGTAATGAATATCATTGATAGAACTCTTGATTTGATACTTGCTTCCTCAAACTTGAGTTTCAAATTAAACACTGAGACTTTACATTGGTACGAG